CAGCAACTTCCAGCTTGTGTCTCTGCTCCTTAGGCACCATCACAAGCCCCATGCAGCCCCACACCCGCAGCATGTCAATGGATGGCTTCTTCCCAAGCCAACGCTCGTACGGCACCCAGTGCTTCTCACCAATATGTGTCAAGACCCTGTTCTTGACCGTGATGACATGGCGAACAGCTTCAGGCCAGAACTTGTATGGCATCCCAGCAGCCCCCAACAAGGTCTTAGCCGCCTCGCCAATGGTCCGGTTGGCGCGCTCAACAATGCCGTTCTGCTGCGGTATTCCAGGGCAGGTCAGCTGGTGTCGGATGCCGTTCCTCTTGAGAAACTTGGTGAATTCCGCTCCAAGGAACTCTCCACCACGGTCGCTCCTCAACACCTTCACCAACCGCATCGCTTGCCGCTCCACCATCGGCAACCAATCCTCCTTGATCGCCGCTGCTGCATCGCTCTTCTTGGACAAGGGACGTGCCCATGTGAAACGGCTCCATTCGTCCACCATGGTGAGGAAGTACAGCACTCCCCCAGTCCCCTCCGTCCTCATAGGACCCACCAGGTCCATGTGCACCACCTCCAAGGGTGCCTTCGCCGATCCCTCCGCACGTAGAAACGGGAACCGCGCAAACTTGTTTTGCATGCACGCCTCGCAGCTGCCATAGTGAGCGCCATCTCTTTGTAGCTGCAGCCCATGCACGCACTTCTCCTTGTGCATCACCTCCAATGTAGATACAGCCACGTGTGCAAGTCGCCGATGCCAAGTCTCCCAATCCGCTTGGCCCGAGGTAGCCGACGCCTTCACTGCCGCACTTCCTCCAATCAGCTCCTCTCCTTGCACACCTTGCTGCTCCTCCTCAGTGACGCTCTCCTCCATAGATGCCGCGGCTGCCGCCTTGCCCGATTTCCGCCAAGAGAGGACAGGGATCTGCCACATGCGCTTGTGGACATCTCCCTTCCACTGCAGGTCCCAAATGAGGCGCTCATCATTGTAGGCACGATAGCGCTCCGAGCCAATCGTCTCGGTGTTCACGCCCGCATCTCCCAACCGGTTGGTAGAAATCAGGTTCCGGCACCCACAGCACGTTCTTCAGCCCCACGAGCTCTCCATCCGCTCCCATGAACTTGGCGCATCCCATGCCCATGACCTTGGTCTTGGCGCCCGTCGCGGATGTGACTGTAGAGATGGGTGCGGGCTGAATCTCATCGAGTAGGTCCGCACGAGGAGTCATGTGCCAAGAGCTCCCGGAATCAATCACCCAATGGGTGAGGGGGTGTAGGAGAACCTTGGCAGCCATAGCGAGGTCGGTTGTGCCTTCGCTCACGAAGAAGAACCCGGCCTTCCGCTCCTCAGATTTGCCGCCTTTCTCCTCATCCTTCTCCTCTTCACTAGCTCCCATGACTCCCCCACTCCTCTTGCCACCATGCTGGTTGCTTGATGAAGGCGGGGTCCAATCCTTGGGTCGTTGGTAGCACTTCCGCCAATGATGTCCGCGCTTCTTGCAGTAGAAGCACAGCTCCCCTTGACCCCCGCCGCCATCCTCCTTAGGGTTGTCCTTGTTCTTGCCCTTCCACTTCTTCTTGAAGCCACTCTTTCCACCTCCAACTCCATAGCAAGCCCCCTCCTCTGAGCGCTCCACACTCCGCTGCCGCAAGTCCTCCTCAAGGATGCACGCGTGAATGTAATCCACACTCCACTGGGGCTGTTGAGAGTTGAGGTTGATCGCTAGGGCAGACCACGACTCCGGCAGCCATATCACGATCTCCACTCATTGTTCGAGCTCCGGATACACCACACCGCCACCTTGGAACTTTGTGAAGATGTCGCGCATCTCGTCCAACACCGGTTGCATCGGCTCTCCATCAACAAACTTGACGTCGCGCAGCCGCCGTGCGAGTAGCACGATGCCGGTAGCGTGTGTCGGTGAGTGCACATCCAGAAGCTTCCTCCAAGCCTTGGGGCCACACTCTGGATCACCCAAGAGGTCCTTGATGTGGTCAAGTTGGCGTCCTCCAACCGCTTGCACCATGAGCATGTACACGTCGAACGATTGCTTCATCCACGCTCCTTTCAGCTCCGCGGCCTCCGGCATCTTTTCCTTCCCCTCCACCAAATCCAATAGCTTCTATTGGGTGTACATCAGCCTCATGCGGAAGCTCCAGTGCTCGTCGTCCTCCCCCATGAATTTCTCTATAGAGAACGCCTTCACGAGATCCACGGTTGTTGGAGATGTTGTAGAAGTCGAGGGTAGTGTAGGGTTGGCTGGTTGGTGCGTCCCCACTCCACCACCAGCAACTCCTCCCTGCTCTCCAGCCTTTGTACCTCTATCCATCTTGCCATTAGCACCTCTGGAGTCATATTGAGGCTCTATGAACGGTGGAAACTTTGAGAAATCGTTTGGTGAGAATTCTGCCAGAGATTTCGACTTTACGAAAAACGCCGTCGCGGACAGGATACTTGGAATTAAAACGTGATTTGACCACCAATCGAAATTTCGCGAGCGGACATACCTGAACATGGTCTCACTCGTCAACATTGGTTGAGAATTTATGACGATTCATCGTCTCAAAGTCGACTACCCGCTCTGATACCACTTGTTATTCAGGATCCGTCACTTCGAGAACTTACGACGAACTCATTTCTCAACTAAACGCAAATCCGCTCAGTAGGATGTTACGCCTTAGGTTTAACTACCATCTCCAATTTGAATCTCTTAAAAAGATGGTCTAGAGAGTGAGAACGACTTGAAAACGTCCAGCAGCCGCATGACTAGAATGGTGGAGGAAGTACAAGCATTAAGGCATAGAAAAGTTGGAGTTGGGGACTTTAAGAGAACCATGAGAGGGAAGGGGTTCACCAAGAGCTAGGGAAGGATGGTAGGAACCTTCCTAGCAGCAAGGATGCAACCCTCATCATGAGGTCCTTGAGGTGTCACATGCAAAATCCTATCTAGTTGGATTTTGTCTAGGTGTTGCAACATTTGCAACCCATGCTAGAAACTTCTAGCCACCCCAAACCAAAAGTCAAAGTTGCCTTCCTAACCACCCAACCAAAGATCCATTTATAGTCATGACCCAATATCACCCAAAGTAGATAATATCTCAAAATGAGATAGAATTCCAAAGCCTTGAAAATCTTGTAACTTGGGCGATCCTGGTCGGAATAAGGCGATCTTGGTATCGTTGGAAAGCTCTGGATTTCTCCTCCATTATCAAGCATTTAAACTTGGAGAAAAACACAGAGATGATGAAATTCAACAGCCATGCACAATGACATATGCTCATGCAAATAATGCAAGTACACATAGCACGAGCACTCGGCAGGACGTTAGGATGACATGCACTCAAAATGACGTGCATCCAACACATGCACCTCCTCCCGGAGGAAGAGTGTGGACCCAAGGCATCGAGAGTGCTCAAGGATCTGCATGCACCCACATTATTTGTAGCTACCCTCATGCTGGAGAGGGAGCTCTCCACCCTTCGCCTCAGTGAAGGAGAACCCGTTCAGCCCGTCCTTGACAAGCTGAGAGACCTCTACGCCAAGCTCGCCATCGCTGGAATTGTCTACCCCGAACAAACCAAGTGTATGAAGATGCTGTCGCTGCTGCTGGAGTCATGGATGATTTTCACAAGTGGCCTGAGTCTTCCTCAAAACCAGAGCTCCTGGACCTTGGAGTGGATTCGCACCAAGATACTCGAGGAGGGCTTCAAGAGGCGCCAACTGAGGGGAGGTGAAGAGGGGAGCAGCGGCTACGCCATGCAAGGAGGGAAAAGGGGCAGAGGTAAGAAATGGCAAGGGGCTGGAAGAGGAGCGTCCAAGGAGGAGGAGCCCTCCAACCAGCAAGGCGGTAGAGGAGCAGGACGTGGTGGAGGCCGAGGTGGAAGAGGGGGAGGAAGGGGACCGGGGAGAATAGAGGGCAAGTGCTGGTATTGTGAGAAAGTGGGCCACCCGTGGTTCAAGTGGAGGACTAAACCAACCTGGTGGACCCCCTCCAACAGGACTCAAGATGGGAGCGGCGCCGGAGCGGTTGCCGATGATGAACCGACCGAACAGGAGGAGAGGGAAGCCGGTCAGTTCTTCCACGTTGGAGAGCCGAATGAGGACGCAGTGGTCACCCATGCTGGAGCCGCACTGCACCCGCTCAACACGTGGATTCTGGATACAGGAGCGGCATGGACTATGACTCCAAGGGCCGACCTCCTTCACAAAGTGTGAGCTACAGCAATGGATGGAAGAAGAGAAATTGTATGAGAATATAAAACACAGTTCATACTCGGCTTCTCTGACCTCCATGTTGGCGCATGTTCCCCTGTGTGCCAGTTGAAACACATCTTGGGATTATGCTGAAGGTTTGTAAGGCTGAAAGGCAAAGTAAGAGGGTGGAGCACTGATAAATTTGGGAAGCAGCATATACTGTTTCCGCGGCCCATGGCTCTGCCATGCCTTTTGCTACTCTCTTTCCCCCTCTCTCCAACCTCCACTCCCTCTTTCCTCCACCTCTCCTCCTCGCTTGCGGATGGTTAATGGTGGCAACAAAGAGGTGCTGCAATTACTGCAATAGGCTATCTCGCCCCTCTGAACCCAACCTCTATTCCCATTCCCTTCCCTCTCCCCTCATTATCTTCTAATGTGTACGGCCTCATCTATTATCTGGTTGCTTGACCATGTTTCTTGAGATGACTGGCAGACAGATCACCACAAGCGGGCGGAAAGAATCAAGGGAGAACAAGAAGGTGAGCAGCATGAAGGTGAGCAGCAAGAAGGTGTTGTGGTTTCAGCAGCTGGTTCATCACTGATGCAACGAGGTGTACCTCTGCTTAGGCAGAGGGATACGCTTGCAATGAGGTTGCTTGATTTTAACCAGGACTGGGAAGGAAATTCTCAAAGTGCAGTGTGCAATAGTTTCGGGCAATGTCCAGAACGGTGGTTTCTGCTGCCGTGGCTGATGGAGAAGCAGTGGATGCTGCATGACCTTGGGTAGGTAGCAACCGACCTCTTTTGCATGCCACCTCCCCCACCCGAGCCCTCCCCATCCGCTGCAGAAGTGGCGGTGGATGCTGCACGACCTGTGGCAGGTAGCATGTTCTTAACACAACCCACTTGCATACCACCTTCCCCAACTGGAGCCCGCTTCATGTGTTTCTGAAGTCGCAGTGGCAGCAGGAGTGGCAAGCGAGGTGTTACTGGGTAGGTACTGTGCCCTACTTGATGCCCCTCTCTCTGTCTTGTGATGTTCACATAGTTGTTTCCCTCCTCTCCCTCCCCCTCCCCATCCCCACTCCTTGGTGGCAGCAGAGGGACCCCATATGGGATTGTGGCACGCACTCCCACAATCCCACCTCCCCATGGTGGCGTTGAGGTAGGGCGACTCAGGGGAGGTGAGGGCTGCGGCAACGGCAAAACCAAGGGCGCTGGGGTGGTGGTGATTAGGATTTTAGATTGGAGATTTTGTTTGTTTTGTTAGCAGAAGTATATTGTTGGGACAGCTGTGCACATGGACCCCTCATCATCCCATACATCATTCCATAATTCAACCAGTACTTCATTCCATACCCCATCCCATACCTCATCCCATACGTCCAATACCTCATCCCACCCCCCTCCCCATACGCCATTTCACACTTCATCCCCTGCCTCATTCCTCACCTCATTTCATCGCACACCTCATCCCACACCCCACCCCATACATGCCTGGTTCCACTTACTGTCATTTCTAAATTTCTTTTGTTTCTATTATTGCCTTACCCTCACATGTCTGCCTCCCACACTCATGCCTACCCTCCTGTTTGTTTCCCTCCCCTCTCTCCCTTTCCTCATCCTCCCTCCCCCTCCCCTTCGCCTTCCCCATGCCCCTGCCGCTCCCTCCTTGATCGGCAGTTGATGGTGGCAGCAGAGGGATGCTGCATGCACTCCCCAAAGCCCACCCTCCTTCCTCCTATCTCCCCTCAGCTGCTTCTACCAGCCACCTCCCCATGGTGGCATGGCGTGGAGGGAGCGCGACTCAGGGTAGGTAGTGTCTGGGGCATGAGCGGAACCAAGATGCTGGTGTGCCGGTATTTGGCACTCCAGTTGGGATGGTGTTCAGCTTTGGTATTTCGTTTGTGAGCTACATGAGCAGCCATAGTTGTGCGCTCAAGCAGGAAAGCATAGAGGTGGAACAGCTGGGCACATGCACCTCATTCCATACCGCATCCAATACCGCATCGAATACCACTTCCCACACCTCTTCTAATACCTTATCCCATAAATCGCATAACCTTTCCTGCACCTCATCCCACCTCATCCCACGCCTCTTCTCATACCTTATCCCATACATCACATAACCTTCCTGCATCTCATCCCATACTTCATCTCATACCTCATCGCATATTACGCATTGCACTGCGCTGTTGTTTCTGAATCACTTTTGCTTCCCTCGGTCATTTACCTCTCTTGCACTCGTGCCTGCCCATCACTCAGTCACAGCATAATCATGCGAGGACAGAGTGGTGCAGATGGGTGTCACACAGCAGCAGAAGATGAGTCACTAATAACCAGCCAGGGGGGGTGCATTCAGTGGGCGGAGTGTGGCTGAAGTGAGGTGTAGGTTTTTCAGGTTTTGCCAACATCCTTTGGACCCACAGACGACACCTTTCCCTTCTTTCGCCATCTCCCGGCATAAAGTCCGCCCGCTATCACCCAATTCCCCCTCCATTCCCCACTCCCCCTCCTCTCCCCGCTCACATCTCTCCCCCCCCTTCCTCCCCACCCTCCACCACCCCAACCCTCACCACACCCTCGCTCCCCTCGTTCCCCCGTACTCCCTCCCCCCTCTCCTCGTTGGTGGCAGAGGGAGGCACAGCAGCACCAGCCTTACCTTCCCTTTCCTTGCCCCAACTCCTCCCGATTTCTTTTGGGGGGGGGGAGGGAGAGGGGGGGGGAGAGGCTTTTGGGTGGGCCCAGGAGGAAATCTGGCCCCCTTTCCTACGACGATCCACTGAGAGCATGTGGTAACGAGGCATCGAAGGCCCAACTCCTCCCCCTGGCCTCCCAATCCCCTTCCCCCTTCCCCACCCCTATCTCCCCGCAGGTGCTTCTAGAAGTCGCCCCGAATGTATTGCACGGCGTGCAGGGAAGTGAGGCTGCTAGGGAGGTGATGCTTAGAGCACGACCAAAACTAGCATGCCTGGAGTGGGGTTTATCAGCAGAACTCCGATCCAAACAGCTCATGGTGGAAGCATGTGACAAGTGGAGCCATTACAGCAGCAACGTCTGTGTGCTCTCAGCATCAGTGCAAGCACACCTCATCCCAGGGTTAGGAGTGGTCCACGTATACGTACCACAGTGCGCCACTCAGCAGGTTAACTGTACCGTTTTGGACAAGTCGTTCTTTTCCTGATTTCGTGCAAGCAGCTCTTTTCATACTTTCATGTACCACGCCCGTACCTCAGCTCTCAGAATCAATCGCTCCACCTGCACCACAACTGATACTAGCGACTTGTAGATCTGTGCATCTGAAACAGAATTAACTACCACAGATCTAGTGACCCTAGTAATGTAAGCTTCCCTCCACTTAGGGCTGCTGGTGCTAAGACCATATGGCAACGCATTAGTCGTACACTTAGAGCAGTCAGCCTGGCATCATGGCGTCTTATCCCGCTTTTAAAATCCTCCGCGCAATGCATTCTGTGAAAGATTCCACCCCTCTTCCAGAAACGCCCGACGACGATGCGCCACTTGAGCTAGGCGGGTTGTACTCGTCGCGAGATAAGTGTTTCGAGGCTTTACAGGAATACGCTCTCACGCACCACTTCGGTTATCATGTGCACTTGACGAAGAAGAAGTATGTATTGGTCGGGTGTAAGGCGGTGGCTGATAAATTGCCGAACGTGGAATGTTTCTGGCACTGCGCATATCGCGAGGAGACTGACACTGGTTATTGGCGGATTACGACCCTAGTCCCGCCGGAGACCCATAACTGCCCGGCACCGGACCGGTACGAGTACGCAGTTTCCATCGCTAACAAGTTGCATGTCTTACTACGAGCCTACGGCAACATGGTCCGCGCCGATCCGTTCGTGGCACCCATTGAGCTGATGAAGCTCATGGAGGGTCAAGGGGGGGGCGAAAATTACTTGCAGGCATGGCGTCTGAGAGAACACATAATCAAGGAAATGTACGGGGATTGGAAGGAGTCCTTCCGGCAGATCCCATTGCTTGTCGACCGTTTCCAGGTCATTGACCCGGAGGTGAAGGTGCATCTCGATACGCTTGGTGGACTCTTTCACCGTTTTTTTGTCCGGCCTTCTGCTGCCCGCCACGCCCTCACATTCTGCCATCCAGTCATAGCGTTTGACGGTACCCACCTCATCAGCGCGCAGAAGGCAGTGCTCCTGGTCGCCGTTACGCTAGATGGGAACCAGAAAGTCCTGCTGCTGGCATGGGGCTTGGTGGAGTCGGAGAACAAAGAATCCTGGACATGGTTTTTGAAGCACTTCATCGATGGGTTTCCTGAGTGGACGCAGCGGAAGCACGCCTCCATCATCAGCGACAGAGATAAGGGTTTGGTTCCAGCAGCTCGACAGGTGATGCCCAGTCACATCCCTCACTACTTCTGCGCATGGCATCTCGAGCAGAATCTGAGGCGATTCAAAGCAAAGGCGCAGAAGTACTTCTGGAGGTTGGTGAAGTGCCGGAGCATGATAAAGTGGATCGCCCTGGTTCTGGCGTGCAGATACGTCTTCCCGGAGATGGCACTGTATCTTTTTGGCCCCGAGGAACCACCCGCACAGAGCGTACCCCCACCTGCTGACCCTCAGCCCCCCCCACAGGAGCGGTCAACGTATGAAGGCGCGCGAGCATACGTTTTTGCTGCTGGCCGTCAGGGACGACGGGAGGCCCGAAACGCCCGCCACGGTGGCGCAGGGGGTGGGACCCGGGGCCACAATCAGCCGCAAGGTGGCATGGGCGTCCCCGGTGTCGGCACCGCCCGGTTCAACCGGGCTGGTGGCGGTCTGGCAGGGAGGGGTGGCATCAACGCTCCCAATGCACAGGTCTTTGGGCGAACCTTTCGAGGCGGGGCCGGCAGCAGGGGAGTTCAAGGTGCCTCGGAGAGTGATTCGTCAGGGGATGATGCTCCCGGATTTACAGGTGGGGGAGTACGTGAACGGGGCACGCCTGGCACGGGAGCTTTCCAGTTCGGGGGGGCAGGACTGGGTGTCGGAAGTGGGACAGGTTTCGGGATGTTTGGGCCAAATGGCAGCAGGGGCTTTGGCTATGGCCAGAGGGACGGGGGATCAGGGTCTGCTGCAGCGCGACCACGATTCGGTATGGAGAGTGGTCAGGGTGTCGGTGGGAGTGGCAGCGCGCATGGTGGAGGTTTTGGTCGCGCGTCTGCAGGGGGTGGGATGCCAGTTTCTGGCGGACATGGCGATGGGGAGAACGACCTAGGAGGAACCTGGGATGACGGCCCGGGCACCGGCGGATTTGGGTTGGGAACGCAGGAGAGTATGGCTGGGGTGGGAGGGGTGTCTATGGGAATGGGAACCAGAGTCGGTGTCGGGGGGTTCGGCATGGGATCGGGAGGCGCCGGTGGATTGGGTATTGGAACAGGGCCGAGACATGTGGGCCGTGGGACAGGATCGTTTGAACAAGGGGGAGGGGTGGGCTCGGGGGTGGGGACCGGGGAAGGCATGGGGGGCTTTGGCTTGGGCATGGGACCTAGAGGAGGAATGGGAGGGGTGGGCTTGGGTGCAGGGAGTGCCGCCAGGTTTGTAGGTGTTGGCCGTGGGGTGGGATCTGGAGGAGTGGGAGGTGTGGGCGGGGGTGCGGGGACTGCACAAGGTATGGGGGGCTTACACTTGGGGTTAGGATCAGGGGCAGGAGTGGGAGGGGTGGGCGTGGGTGCAGGGAGTGCCGCCAGGTTTGTAGGTGTTGGCCGTGGGAGGGGTGGGCTCAGGGGTGGGGACTGGGGAAGGCATGGGGGGCTTTGGCTTGGGCATGGGATCTGGAGGAGGAATGGGAGGGGTGGGCGTGGGTGCAGGGAGTGCCGCCAGGTTTGTAGGTGTTGGCCGTGGGGTGGGATCCGGAGGAGGAGTGGGAGGGGTGGGCTCGGGGGTGGGGACCGGGGAAGGCATGGGGCTTTGGCTTGGGCATGGGATCTGGAGGAGGAATGGGAGGGGTGGGCTTGGGTGCAGGGAGTGCCGCCAGGTTTGTAGGTGTTGGCCGTGGGGTGGGATCTGGAGGAGTGGGAGGTGTGGGCGTGGGTGCGGGGACTGCACAAGGTATGGGGGGCTTACACCTGGGGTTAGGATCAGGGGCAGGAGTGGGAGGGGTGGGCGTGGGTGCAGAGTGTGCCGCCAGGTTTGTAGGTGTTGGCCGTAGGGTGGGATCTGGAGGAGGAGTTGGCCAAGTGGGCGTGGGTGCGGGGACTGCACAAGGGCTGGGGGGCTTTGGCCTGGGGTAAGGATCAGGGGCAGGAGTGGGAGGGGTGGGCGTGCGGGTGGGGACTGCGGAAGGCGGCGGGACTAGCCTTGGAACGGGACCTGAGGGAGTAGGAATGGGGCCTGGCATGGGCCCAGGGTTCACGAGTGGCACAGGGAGAGGCTTTCGTTATGGCAACGTGGGCATGGGCCATGGAAGCGGGCAACGTACACAAGACGGGCGTGCCGGAGACGGTGGTGGTGGTGGATCACCGATGGTGGGTGTGGCACCGTCCGGAGGAATTCCCATCGCACCAGGTGCCACAAGAGCGGGTGGACCGTTCAACCTGGGTGCAATTTACAGGAGAGCACAGGAGGGTTACAACGCCGATGCAATCATTAACGAAGTAGCTGCCCAACCGCATACCACCGATCAGAACAGTTGGCGACATTCGGCGTTGGATGTCGACGATAACTTGCACGCTGGCCTCACTGAGATCCTTGCACTGCCATGGCCGGATACGGGACCACATGGCGACGCCCTTCATGATGGGGAGGACGAACCGGGGTACGAGGATGACGAGGATGTGCCCGGCGAAGGTGTTCCAGGAGCGGGTGACGTTGAGGGCGAGGAGGAGGGGGGCATTCATGTGCAAACCGGGTTTCACTGCAACAGGCAGGGATCACGGTACCGAATCGGCGGGATCCAACTGTTGCACTGGGCCAGGCCTTTTGCTACAACCCGCAGGTACGGGATTTACACCAGCAACGCCGCGGAGACCCTGAACGGAGCAATCAAAAAAATCAGGATGCTGCCCCCTACCTGGCTGTTGGCGTCATTGTGGGACTGGTTTCGGGATAAAAGGTATGAGCACCGCGCCGAAGCTTGGCGGACAGACGACCATTTGACTGCAGCAGCAGCAAAGCGAATGGCCATCAAGCTCAGACTTTCTAAAGAGTACTTTTTCCTCCGTGGAGATGATAACGCAGGGACGATCCAGACTCGTGGAGGGGAGAACGATGAGGAGTGGAGGAGCTACAACGTCAACTTGGTGACTCGATCATGTGAATGTGGGAACTGGCAAGAGTACAAGTTTCCTTGTGCACATGCTGTCGCTATGTGTGTCAGGAAGAAGAGATGCCCGGAGATCCTTGTATCTCACTACTACACCACAAGCAACCAGCGTAGGATGTATGCCCCGGACGTATGGGGAACATGCGTGGACAGGCTGGTACGTGAGGCCCCTCCTGCAGCTGAAGGTGTGTGTGATGCACCACACCTGATTGAAACAAGGGTAGGCCGCCCGGAGAACAACGAGCGCATGGAGGCTAGAGGCATGGGTTGCAAGTGCGGGAGGTGCGAGCAGTACGGTCACAACAGGAGCACCTGCAAGTGGAAGTTTGGGGGCTACGGCATTGGGCAAGGATTTGGGATAGGTGCTGGGGGTGGTGTTGGGAGAGGTGCAGGGCGTGGAGTTGGAACTGGTGCAGGGCATGGAGCGGGAGCTGCCGCGGGGCATGGGGCAGAAGCTGACGCAGGGGTTGGAGCTGGGATTCCTCCTGTCAGCGGAGTTGGGACACCTGGTGAGACTTGGGATGGGCTTGGTGCTGGGAGAGGTGGGGGGCGAGGAGCGGGGAGAGGTGCTGGGCGAGGTGGTAGGCGAGGAGCGGGGAGAGGTGCTGGGCGAGGTGGTAGGCGAGGAGCGGGGAGAGGTGCTGGGCGAGGTGGTAGGCGAGGTGCTGGGAGAGGTGCTGGGAGAGGTGCTAGGAGAGGTGCTGGGAGAGGTGCTGGGAGAGGTGTGGGGCGTGGTGCTGCTGTGAGTGGTGCTGGGAGTGGTGCTCCCGAGAGTGGTGCCGGGCGTGGTGCTGCTGTGAGTGGTGCTGCTGCGAGTAGGGCTGCTGGGCATGGTGCTGGGAGTGGTCCTGCTGGGCATGGTGCTGGGAGTGGCCTTGCTGGGCAGGGCGCTGGGAGTGGTGCTGCTGGACAGGGCGCTGGGAGTGGTGCTGCTGGACCGGGCGCTGGGAGTGGTGCTGCTGGACCGGGCGCTGGGAGTGGTGCTGCTAGACCGGGCGCTGGTAGTGGTGCTGCTGGACCGGGCACTGGGAGTGGTGCTGCTGGACCGGGCGCTGGGAGTGGTGCTGCTGGACCGGGCGCTGGGAGTGGTGCTGCTGGACAGGGCGCTGGGAGTGGTGTTGCTGGACCGGGCGCTGGGAGTGGTGCTGCTGGACCGGGCGCTGGGAGTGGTGCTGCTGGACCGGGCGCTGGGAGTGGTGCTGCTGGACCGGGCGCTGGGAGTGGTGCTGCTGGACCGGGCGCTGGGAGTGGTGCTGCTGGACCGGGCGCTGGGAGTGGTGCTGCTGGACCGGGCGCTGGGAGTGGTGCTGCTGGACCAGGCGCTGGGAGTGGTGCTGCAGGGCACAGTGCATGGGAGTAGTGTTGCTGTGGGTGGTGCGATGTCTAGTATTGGGAGTGGTGATGCTGGGAGTGGTGCTGGCCCTGGATGCAGGGAGTGGTGCTGGAATTGTTTAAGTGCTATTGTTCCCGGCACCTGCAAACCATGTGACATTTTTTTTATTATTATTAAATTATTTATAGGGATACGACATTTATGTCATCATGCTGCGGTTGGGCAATCCAACGTTGGTGAAGCATCCGGGTGGTTGCAGCAAAATACCTGCAAATGCGCTTCTTCAATGTTGCTTGTATAGTTGTGAGTGCTCTTGGTGATCATCAAACAGAGGTGCCACATAACACCCAGCATAGGATGTATGTTTGCCGTCCAAATTCGTGTGAAATCGGTTAGCCACCCGTTACGCCCGCGTGTAAGGCCCGTGAGGCCTCTGTATGTGTCCAGCAACCAGACCCTAAACCAATCGTTAACCACACGCGAAACTCTCGTCAACGCCCCCTGAGGCCTCCGTTTGTGTCCCGTGACCTACCCTTTAACCTCCCGTTACGCGCCCGTCACGGCTACATTTAGCGACAGTCTGCTTTTCCAAGCGGGGCCCAAAAACTCACGTCAAATCCCCGTCAGAGGGCAGTGGTCCGCTTCACATGATCCGCGAGTGACCGAAGTAACCACCCGTGTATCTCACGTCAAAGCTACGTGAGGCACCTGAATGGGCCCCGCGTTTGCACATGTATAGTTGCGCGGAGGTTTTGCTATGGTTTGCGTCGTTGTAATCGACAGTATCATGTGAGCATTTGAAGAACAGCGTAAAGGCAATTTAGGGTACAAAATAGGGACACAAGATGAAACGCGTGGGTACACTAGATCGTTAACCTACACCAGCTTAAATTCGGTTCACATGGGTATGGCCTTCCGGTGCAAAAAAAACCCTGAGAATAGGTTCACCAGATAGTTGTGGTTTGGTCATGTTCATATATGATTGTGACGTATGGACACTAAAAGATTTGGACGAAGTTAGAGGTATATTCTTATCATCGCATTGATTTTATATCCCCTCTGATATGGGGTATTTATATCCAGCTGCCACACTCCAATCTATGAGAACCTTCAATATGTTATCCTAGACACAATCGATAATCGTACCGCGGAGCAAGGTATTGGGTAAAGCTTCTCTCTGGATGTTGATCTTGACCTACAGAAACAGTGAAGCGCATAAGAATATTGGTCAAATATGAGACTGTTGGTTGGACTACGGTTGGTTGGGGTGCCTTAACCTTAACCCTTACTGTTGTACCCCCTATAACACATATCAACTATAACACACACACACATTAACCATGCAGTTGTACCCCCTGTATGATATTGGAATATTGAGAACACAAAAAGTGGTTTATAAGATATTGTGTCTCGGGAGCAGTGGATGGGTGTCCGGGATTCATTTGCCCGTATAGATCGACGTAGCGTAGTAAACTCCATTCATGGAAGACGGGGTGATTGTAAAATGTCATAGATGATAGAAACATGCAATGCCAAGTGTATGAGTAGTAACACATTGCAATGGCGAAACGACCAAACTAGCCATGTACTCTAAGTACTAGCAGATGCCTTACATCGTAATTTGTACTTTTGCAATACACATTGCAGTGATCGCACGCACCTTCCATTGCACCCGTGACGCATGGCAATGTTTGACTACGTTGGCAGATACGAGTATCACGTTTTATACGCCAGCGTATTATACGCTGGGTATATACGCGGTACGCCAGGGGTGGCGTACTGGTGATACGTAAAAATACGCTGGGCGGGCAGGTAAAACTATTTTTCCCGGGCAGGGCTAAAAAAACCTGTTACAAGGGGGGGGGGGGGGGGTATGTTTCCCAAAAACACATGTCATAATTTAATTTCATAAATATCAAAAAATACATCTTCGAGGCTGCTTCTCCCCACCCCCCATACATCCCCACCCCACCCTCTAGCTATCCCCACAGCCGAGTTCCTTGCGGAGCTTTTCCAACACCACCCCTGCCCCATACTCATCCGCCAGAACTGCATCCTCTCCTTCCCCCCCCAGCAGGTCATCCTCCTCCTCCTCGTCCATGTTGTAGCCGCGAGGGATAGGGGCATCCGGGATGTTACTGGGGACAACCGTGCTGCCCCCATCCTTCTTGTACCAATTGCGCACAACGTTCCAGTTGTGCGCAATGTAGACGAGGTCCGCACACTTGGCGGCGAGATGGGCTGAGTGAGCACCCGGCATGCGAGGGTGGCAAGCTCAGGGTACTCGGTGCTGTGCCACGACCACCACTGCACCATGCTCATCTCCCCCTTCTTCACTGCCTCCCTTGCAGAGATGGCGGCCGGCGTGCCAAAGCTGCCCTCCATGTTGATGTAGGCCAGCAATGCCTCCTGCAGCACAAGGGAGGCACGGCGAGGGGCGCCATCCTTGCCACGCCTGAAGGTTTTGTTGTCGTAGTGGCGCTCGATGTAGGCCTTGAACACTCGAGTGCACTCCATGTCGTTCCTGAAAATTCCCTCCACCTGGTTGGCCGGATTCAGGATCCGGCCAACCACATGCATGGGGCAGGCAAGTGAGTTGTCCCACCTGTCCTTCACAATCTTGGTGATATCAGCCTTTTCCGCCCTTGTCAAATAGTCCCCTGCCTTGTCCAACTTGTCATTGCTGTCCTCGGTAAGTTGTAGCATGATATCATACATCTTACCCATCATCCCCTTCGCCGAGGAGTCCGTGGCCCGCATGGCCTTGTACGGCACCGCCATGAGAGAGGTAAAAAACACCGCCAGCCCCCACCACTCCTCATCCATCACGGCAGCCCTGAACTTCTCGGCTGCAGTCTTCCTGTCCTTGTCCGCCACTGCTCACTCATTCCACTCGTCGCTGAGAACCATCTACGCCAGCCCACCCCGCACCTCGCACAGCCGGGACAGAGCTATGTACTGCGTCCCGAACCTGGTCCCCGCGGGCTTGAGCACCTGATTCCCCCAACCCTTCTTCATGTTAGCACGGGTGAAGTGGTGGTTGCGCACAAAGGTAATCATCATTCCCCCCTTCTCCACGAGCCCCTTCGCCCATCCCATCTTGCCCACGTCTTCCATCATCAGGTCCAGGACATGCGTGGCACATGGCACATGCTCAATGTGCGGCCATGTGCTCGCAATCTTCTTGGCTGCCGAGGCATAGTTGCTGCCGCCATCAGTGCAGACCGCCACCACATTCTCCGGCCCCACCTTATCAATGACGGGGCGGAGAAGGCTGGCGATGTACCCCCCGGTCTTTGACTCCATGTTGCAGTCCACCGCCTGCTCGAACACTGCGCCTGAGTCGTTGACAAGGAGCACGTTGGCCTGCGGGCGGCCACAACGGTCAGTCATCATGTCCGACGACACGGTGACCCCGTCCCGCTTCCAGCTGGCGGCAACGGGGGCGAGCGCCTCCTCCATTTTCTGCCGCACCTTCTTCAAGCCCGCCCCTCCAATGTAGCGCCTGTTGGGGGAGACGTACCCCGGTCCAGCGCGCGCAAAGCACTGGACCGCGTAGCGGAAGACCGGGTCATCCGCGATGCGCTCGGGAAGTCTTAACGCCGCGATCAAAAGGCAGAGGGCGTTATCCTTGGCGCTCGTCGCCTCATCGCTGAAGGACGTTATCTTCCCCTTCTTCTCTGAAGAACCAGTGACCGCGCCCAGCGCGGAGTCAATTGCTGCAGCGGCCGCCCCTCGTTTGACGCCCTGCTTCTCCACCTTCTCCTCGTACATGCCGCGCACTTCTTCACTGACTGCCGCGGACACCTTCTTGCAAAGCCGGACAGCGCGTTTCTCCTGCCCTTTCCATTTCGCAAGGTGAATTGCGCAGCGATTGGTTCCGCCCTCAAACGTGAAGTCACAGAACTTACACATCTTGGGAGTGCCTTTAGTATGGTACGGAATAAGAAAATGTTTCAGAATGGGGTTCGAAAGGCCAGCCTCGACAGGCTCCCTATTGATTGCGCCAGTAGACGCGTTAACAGATGCAACATTGCTCGTCGCAGTAGGAGGGGTGGAGTTAGACGCCATGAGGACGAACGGGAGAAGAGAGCTACGGGAATAAAAACGAGCACCGCAATTGAATGAAACAAAGGAACTCGTCATCCATTATATGAGGAGACGCGTTGCTGAACAACATTTGAGAGGGATGGTTGGAGATGAGAGGCTTGGTGGGGTGGTGTGTGGTTGGGGGGTTGGAAGGTTTGGAACTCGAATTCTGAATTTCAGAACTGGGTTGGGCGATGTGCGACTTCGCGGTAACAAATCGCGAAGTCGCAAAACCTTCGCGAAAATTTTCAATGTCGAAATTTTTTTTTTGGCGGTCTGCCCGGGCGTATTTCCAAGAAATACGAGTGTATTGGCGTACCACGTACATACGCAAGCGTATGTACGTGGTACGCAACACTGCTCAGGGCGTATCTGCCAACATAGATGTTTGATAACACGTATTGAGAAGGATGGCTAGTACGTTGATGTACGTGTAGTACGATGACATATACGTTCACTTCGGTTTTTATTCTTGATGAAGGTGTACGTAGTCACTTACATCACAGTCGAAGGCCTTCCAAAGTAAAGTTTGAACATATTTTGTACTCTTTTCTACGATGACGTTGGACCGGATACAAAAGGTGTATAGCGTGATGCGCTATATCAATGCTAATTTACAATGCGTAGATGTACTCGAACCAGCCTGAAGCGACCAGAATGCTTTGACGCGTATGTCACCCTTGCAGGTGCTGTGCAGCATCCATCCCGTCAAGATTCTGCACAGGTGGCGACTAATCATCCCAACCCAGCAATCTTTCAACACACACGACGTCATCGGGCAGTCCTATGCGCGAGTGCCATTTAGTGACGACCCATGGTCACGTGGATACACGTCAAGACAGAGACCGAGAGGTGTTTGAGACATGAACCTCCCTTCCAGACGGGCCTCCAACCTCCCTTCTAGGTTGCTCCCACAGCGTGATTCAGGGAGAAGGGCTGACATAGGAGGATAGTCTTTGTGCGTTATCCCTGTGACCTCTACGCTAGTTAGGCGGGTGTTCAGCGTCACTTTCGCGTACCTGCGCTGTGAGCAGGATGTCGCGTAATCCCAGCAAAAGCGCTGGCAGTCGTCGCGCGAAAGGTAAACAGCATGCGCCAGACCACACCGGCACGCCTTGCTGTGATTTTGACGTTCCGGTGGCCATCGTGGGGAATGATCCTCTGCCCGTACCCGACGACATAATCTCTAGAATGTCTTCAGGCGTGCAAGTTCCTAAGTCTCCCACCGACAGTCTCACTTCTGCCCTTACCAGCGACTATTTCCCGAGTCCAGAAGTCACGAATCACGTTGGGCAGAGTGGCAAAGTGGGGATGATGGACGCTCTTTGCATTCAAGCCGGCTCCGATATCCCAACGTCTACGGTCGACTTTCACAACGTGTGAGAACCCCGGTATCAAGGTGTGAGGCTGGAGATTTCACACATTGAATACTGAGCTCCCCCCCAACTTTGTCCCGCAGTGTCGTGAGCCTCATCCACCCAAAGCTCCGAAACGGCAAAACGTGGGTTGCTCTAGATACCGCCGCTTACAAGTCAGCCAGTTGCGGGAATAGCACATGCGGTGTCGACGGTGGAAAATTACTCTCGTACGACTACATATGCATTGTGGTCACATCCGAGTAAGTTAGACTCTCCACGCGACTTCCTTATTTTTTGCCTGCGATTGAGTTCCGTACGCGTGTTCTAAGTTTTAGTTCTATCCAGGGACCCCAGGAATCCGCTCCCCAACCACAAAAGCATTGCCGTGGTTCAGGGTGCTGCGGCGTTGCTGAAGACGGATGAGGAGTGGGCTTGGTCGACGGATGAAATACCCCTGGTCGTCCTTTTCGACCCGGGCAGAGTCCACGCCCGCGCCTGTATGGAAGTCTTCAGAGATATCAACATGAAAGTGCGCAAGTCTACTGTGGTGACGTGTCGGAAACCCCGTTCAACTATGATGTTGCCCGATTTTGCTGCAGGCTTCTTGGACGTGCACTTGCACAAGCTTTTCCCCAACTCAAGGCGGACGAATTGACATCTCGCCTTCAACGCATTCATAGCCGAGCACTGAACGTAAGTGTGTCAGCGCTGTCTGCGTGATTTTTCATCTCCTGTCCCGATGGCATCCTGTATGACATGTTCAACAACAATGATGCATGATGGCTTCCCTTTGCAGGCCAACGAGGTCCAGCAACAGGATCACGGAGTAGACTCAGGGATTTACGTGTGCATGTTCCTGTACGAGCTCGTCGAACGATCGTTCTGCGGCCTGGATCACGGCATCAAAGAGCTCCCAACCTGTGCTGCTCACTTTCGCCGATGGTTAAGGGGATTGATGTGCGATGCCGGGGAAGGTCAGCTGTTGGAGAAGCTGCGTTGCGGAACGGTGGATTTGCCGGGCCTTTTCCGGCATCATGCGGGTCTCGACATTAACGCTGGAGCCGACAACACCACGCTAGGTACATGAGCGCGGAGGTCAGGGCTCAAGGGTCGTGGCTCGATCGCGTCAATTCTGAACTCTCAGCAGTCAAAAGTCTCGTTACGAAATACGGGAACACTTGCGAGAGTATGGCCGCCCATGTGTCACAGATGCATGGCATCATGGAGCTGTTTGCGGAGAGGTATGGTTGTATCCCTCCCCGCGATTCCGTGGCCGAAGTCCTGGCTGAAGTCCCCAGTGCACCCACTCCCGTGTCAGATGGGAGCAAGTGGAAATATGTGGGTGTTTCCCGTATGCCAGGAAGCAGCCGTTGGGTTGCTAAGCTTGTATGTGATGGGGCCGCCGACGCATCGAGCATCATCAGCAGCAAGTTTCCGACTGAGATGGAGGCCGCGAGATCACTGGCAGCTGGTGCGTATGTGCTCTTCGGTCCATACGATGGACCGCGTGGCAACGTTATTGAGTTGAGCACAGAAGACAAGGCAAAGTTACAGGGTTTTTCGAAGGAGCAGTGTAAGCTGATGATTCGTCACAAGTGTTGGCCCAGTTGGGAGAATTGGAGGGATGCCTGGCAGGATTGCGAGGAGAAGATACAGGCGAAAAAGCGAAAAGATGTGTTCAGTCGGGCGGATGGTCGTAAGCGCAAGACGGGTGTTGCGCGACGCAAAAAACGCAAGACTTGCTAAACATGCATATCACGATATTGCACCATGCTAAAAAATGTGGGAGTACAAGTATGGTTTAATAGTCGGGTGGAAAGGGTAGTTTTCCATCAGTAGTGTCCCCACTGTTTGCTTGCTGGCCTTTTAGTGACCCTATAGAATTACTACAAGTGTACTTATATAGAACTCACAACATAACGAGATGAATGTATTGCTAGGGCTGAAACGATAGTTGGAAAGGGGTCCTCAAAAGCTATAAACGCGTGTGTGACGGGGTTCAGACGGCTGTGTCTAGTGACGATCTTCGAAGACCACATCGATCACGGACATGTGACACGGCCATAACGGGAATGTGACGGGGTTCGGACGGGACAGTTGCGCGGCCAAGCGAAATTCACGTGGTTCGTGTCCGGTTGATAAACGGAGGTGTGACGGGGTTCATACGGGACCGTCCGGAGGAACTGCCCTCACTGAGACGGAACAGTGACACAGCAGTAGCGGGCGTTCGACGGGGTTCTGACTGGAACGTAACCAGGCCTTCCATGCATGCCGTGGGGCTCACGGACCAGTGACATGGTCTTAACGGGAATGTGACGGGGTTCGGACAGGACAGTTGCGCGGCCAACCGAAATTCACTTGGTTCGTGTCCGGTTTATAAACGGAGGTGTGACGGGGTTCATACGGGACCCTCCAGAGGAACTGCCGGTGGGTGTCACGGAATAGTGACACGGCAATAGCGGGCGTTCGACGGGGTTCTGACGGGAACGTAACCAGGCCTTTCATGAATGCCGAGGGGCTCACGGACTAGTGACATGGCCTTAACGGGAGAGTGACGGGGTTCATACGAAACCGTCAGAGGAACTGGCTGAAGCCCTGTCACGAAACCCTGACACGGCACTAACGGGAGATTGACGGGCTTCTGTCGGGATCGTCACGCGGCCATCTTTGAATGCCACGGGGCTGACATAGACTTGTGACACAGCATATTGATGCACGTTGCTTTCCTTTTAATTTGTTCTCCCCAGGTTTCCATACCTGCATCCAGTTATTGCAAACTAAACTGAACACACACATTAGGCGGCCAATCCGAACTCTATGGCCATCAACCCTACACATTGGTCCCCATACCCTCTTGGCCATTCCCCGCAGACGAGCCAGCTGCATCATTTTGCGGACCATCCCCCGGTCTAGCCTTTTTGCTTGGGCGATCCTCCGCTGAAGCCAACACCTGCTGAAGCTCAGCCTGCTTCAGCGCATTCTTACGCTCCTTCGCCGCCAGCTTAACCATGCACTCCTCCCATGCTGGCCTCCAGTTCTCCCATCGGTGCCAAAATTTCTCCTCTATCATCAACTTACACATGCGGGCGTCGCAACCCTTGAGCTTTGCTATGTCACCTGCGGACAACTCGATCATCTTGCCTTTGTACGACGGATCATGTCCCCACACCAGGTGCCACCCTACCGCGTATGCACGCGCCGCCTCCACATCCGATCTAAACTTGCTGCTGATGGTTGTCTGGGAGTTTGTTTTCCGCTGGAGTAGTATTTTTGCTGTCCAGGTGTTGCTCGTACTCAACCTCGTGACGCCAGTGTATTGGGTCTTTATGATATCTGGTTTGACCCCCTTGCTCTGCAGACGTGACATGCTCTCCGACGCAGCTGGCCCTCGGTGACTCTGTGCACCTAACCCGGTGAAGCTGCAGGTCGGGGAAGGTGCGACGTTTGGTACACCCCCAGGTGCAGCGACAATTGCGTGATTGGGGACCGGCTCCTGAGTGGCAGTGGGCACGGTTGAGGTGTGACGTAACTGCCATGCAGCTGCTCTTGAGACAGCTTCATCATAGTTCGGGCCCGTCATCGCCGAGGGCCGGTGACCTTGCAGGGTGTCTCGCGGATCTGTGGGATTGGGTGCACCCAGAAAACCCCCTGGTGTAGCTACACCGGCAGCAGTCTTGCCCAATGCTGGTGCCACTCCCGCAACCAGCATCCCCCTTGCTGCTAATACTCCCGCACCCTGGAGGAACCCGGCTGTTGCATTTGCCGCACCATTGCTCCCGCCTGCTGTTGCAACTTCAGCACCAGCGATCCCGCCTTCGTTAGCCACTAGCGCACCCGGGTTGTCGCATGCAGTTGCAACTCCCGCACACGGTTGCAACCCCGCGGTTGCAACTCCCGCACCCGATATCCCGCCTGCTGATGCATCTCCCGCACCCTGGATCCCGCTCGCAGTTGCTACTCCCGCACCCGGGAACAACCCGGGGGGTGACACGCCCGCACCCGAAATCCCGGCGGATCTTGAAACATCCGCACCCGGGATTCCGCTGCATGTAACAACGCCCGCACCCGGGAGCAACCCTGCTGTTGACGCGCACGCACCCGCAATCCTGCCTGATGTTGCAACTCCCGCACCCGGAATCCCGCCTGATGTTGCAACTCCCGCACCCGGAATCCCGCCTGATGTTGCAACTCCCGCACCCGGAATCCCGCCTGCTGTTGCAACGCCCGCACCCGGAATCCCGCCGGATCTTGCAACTTCCGCACCCGGGATCCCGCTGCATGTAGCAGCGCCCGCGCCCGGGAGCAACCCTGCTGCTGACACGCCCGCACCCGTGCGAAACCCCGCTGTTGACACGCCCGCACCCGGAATCATGCCTGACGTTGCAACTCCCGCACCCGGGATCCCGCCTGTTTTGACAACTCCCGCACCCGGGAGAAACCCTGCTGTTGACACGCCCGCAACCGGAATCATGCCTGACGTTGCAACTCCCGCACCCGGGATCCCGCCAGATGTTGCAACTTCCTCACCCGGGAGCAACCCTGCTGTTGATCCACCCGCACCGGGCATCCTGCCTAATTTTGCAAGACTGACAGCTGTGATCCCGCCTGCGGTTGCAACACCCGCACCCGGGATCCCCCCAGCAGGTAAAACAAACCCTTGTGCCTCGTCGCTTCGGTCCAGATGCTGCGTATCACACCCGATTCTAGCCGCAAGCATGGCGAACCCCTGTTTGAGTTGTGACACGGTGTCCAACAGCGCATCGTGACTCTTACCCCACTTGAATACTTGGTCCTTCAGTTCCTCGATATCCTTGAAGGCGTTTTCAATCTGCGCCCCGTGCATGTTGTCGGAAGCTAGCAGGTCCTTCACCTTTGTCTCGATGTCCATGTCCAACTCTATCACGTCCTCCTCGCGGTCGTCGTCTGACTGAGGTTGCTGCAGTAGAACCACACCGTTAAGCCGCAGACTCTCCAGCAGTTGTCGTTGACCAGCCTGGCAAGCCAGACTCCGCATGTCCTGCCGGTACCGATCCCCGCCGTAAGACGGGTGGACGCCCATTTCCATGTCCTCGAAACAGCGCCGCACCAGCTCCTTGATGAACATGCAAACGTAAACACTACAGTCAACTTTGTTCACCTGTTGAGGGACCTGAGAGTACTGTGGGTAAAAGACACAGAGAAAACACATTCATAACCGATGTCCAAGCAGTTAGTGAACACTTATCAAGAACCCTCGGCACCCAGTGAGGGTGTGAAGGTGACGTTTGAAAGGTGTAATACTTACGTGCACAGGCACGCTGTTGACGCGTGTGAGGCGGCGGTAGACATCTGCACCGGACAGTTCGGGCAGTGCTTTCTTCAAGGCTCTACCGAGAAGCCTGCTCAAGGGGTGACGAAAGTACAACAAGCACCCGAACCATTAAAAAACCGGTCACACGCACTAACGGCATATCACCCTGAAATCTGCTCATAAAGCACTCACAAGTTGACGTTCGCAAAAATGCTCTCTTTCATCGACATGTGGTACGTTGTCGAGTCGAATAGGAAAGCTGTTGGCACCACATCTTCTTTGTCTCTAAACTCCTCGTCGGTTTTCAACAACTGGCCCGCGTCCTTTACAACCACAAGGCTGTAATGCTTTGGTAGTGGCTTCCTGCGGGGTATGAAAAAGATGTAGAAACCACACGTGTTAGCAAGGCAACGTCCGAGCAACCCTAAACCCTAAAATACGGGCCCTGTATAGACGGCGCATTAGAAGACGTCTCACTCGTTAAAGATGACGATGCAGATGTAGTCGCAGTCGAGGATTTTCTCGCAGGGGATGCCGCATGCAACAGACGGGCCGAGTGAGAGTGACTGGAAAGCCGGGCTATCCAGCGCAACCCACGTTTTCCCGTTGTGGAGCTTAGGGTGTTCTAGGCTAAGCACCCTGCATGACCAAAACGTGGATGAATAAGAACGCATTGCTCCGAATAAAAAAAACCACGTTGAATGCAGCCGACACGCTTACACGTTATGGAAGTCGATTGTCGAGCTTGGGATCTCGTAGCCGTCCTGTATGTGGAGGGCATCCAGCATCCCTAACTTGGCGCTCTGCCCTAGGTGATTCGTGATTGTTTGTGAAGGGAAGAAGTTGTTCTTTCTAAGTGATGCGGGGAGCTCCGCGCTTAAAGATGCAGGAACGCGCACACCTTTTGCGAAGCGAGATATGATGTCGTCGGGCTCCGGGAGCTCATTGTCGCCTTTAATGGTAACGGGAACCTCGATATCATCGCTGAGAGTTGCTACAACTTCCGACCCCTCTTGCTTACCCTTGGCTCCACGTTTAGAACGCGGAGCGGACGTAGCGGGAACCGGCTGCGCGCGGGTTCTCCCTAACCTTTTACCCGCGTGCGACATGTTAAACAAAGTCCACAGCCCAAAATCGGCAGCTTGACTCTAAGCTCGAGCAGCAGGTGCATGCGTACGGGATAGAGTGAAAGTCTACTAAGAGGCACACAGAGCAGATGCGTGGCTGTGCAAAACGTAGAGTACCTCTTGGACGATTGACCCTGTTTAGAAGCAAGGGAGCCTCGTGGGAGGTGGGATCGACGGGACATTCACGGGCGACACTTCAAAGGAGAGGGACGACCTCTACCCATACTCAGTGCATGCAACGAATCCAGGCCAGAGCGCCAAATGGTAGTCGCTAATTGGCTAGAAATGCAACCTCATTTGCGCCGAATTAGGGACACGTGTGGCCCCACATCCGCTTGGACAAGATATGTCCAGCTGGTCTTGCATCATTGCAGAATGTACAGCTGTATCCAACAATCATTGCGCCTGACAGATCGGACCCAATCGCGATACGATTTCAATACGTGGACCAATCGCAACGGCGAGCATTGACTCACGCGCGTGACTAGGTGACAACCTCGACTGCACTGTATAACCTAATAATCCAAAAACAAAAACAGAAACAAGGAAGGTAGGGTAAACCATGAATGTTTGATAGTGTAACTTTCAACCAAACAGTCTCAACACTCATTCCAGAGTAAGTGTAAACATACTGCGAAAGCGCATGTAGCAGTCCATGGGATTGATATGTTAGAGGGGTGTTTACTGTTCCCTTTGAACAGTACTCCCAACCCCATCCTTATCCTTATCTTTTCAGATTTCCTAGTGCCACGTGGCACTCTACCTTTCTTGCTTCTACTTTCTAGTCCCACGAAGTACTTTCCGACATTCGACCTTGCATGCTATATCATCCTTGCTTGTATCCACCAATATCAACCAATTCTTATTCATCAATTACTCAGTTACTTCTTCGCCTATTTTGCCAACACATCTTTCGCCAAAGTCTTCCGCCCACAGGATTGAGTAAAAATTGAAAATCGTCGCGTCGCGTGATTATTTCTTTGGTGTGCCTTCGTCCCTTATGCTTGGCGGATTTGTGTGTTCTTTCTGTGGTTGCGACATTAACGAACTCCGTTTCCCCGTTTTGATTTTTATCGCTGGGGGTCTCATATTTTCGTCTGTTTCGTGATCCCCCTTCACCACGCGAAGTTGAGGAAGTCGGTCCACAAGACAATGACGAATCGCATTCAAACGCTCTCAACCACGGATCCAACCGGACGACCTGAGCGTTTTTGCGTCTAACACCTTCGTGTCACTAGGATGTTGCTGAAGTGTGACTTTTTTGGCCCAGATCTGTCCTACGAAATTGTGACATTCCCGTCACATTTTCTCTGGGATGTGTTGTGTGCTTTCGGGGACTTTCTGTGTGCTTTTTCGTAGAAAAACCTACGGGGGCCAAAATTTTGCGTCTGACATTTCCGCGATGCCGTTCGATGGGGCGAAATTCGATGCGCCGCCAAGGCATGATAGCGAGCGAACAGATGACACACATAGCACAGATTTGGGCGCAGCGACATCTAAAAAAAACCAATATACGCTTGGATGACGAGTCAAGTCGACACATTCTGTTACTGAGATCAGTGGCCCCCATGGGTAAGCTGTAGTTATGGCAAAACTACTTGCAATAGAGAGTGAGCAAGTGACTGCGTGATTTTGCTCGTTTCCTTTTTCACAGAGCTATTGTAATGAATACGAATTCATTACTGTAGAGGCCGCTCCTAGCGAGGACAACCCCGAGCACTTCGCGTCAGTTTCGAGGTTCGGCCTACACTTCGGCCCGAACCACCCCCGAGTCGCCCCGCACCAATCGCGACACTTCCAAGCCATCCACGTCCCGAGGTCCTCGCCTACCACGGTTTCGACCCTATAAATGCATGCCTCTTTATCATTTTCGACATTCTGTATTCGACATCCCTTTCATAAAGTCTTCCGCGCACTCTTTTTAGTACAACTCATAACACTTGGTATCAGAGCCTAAGTTCCTAGGTTCCCCGTTTTTTAGAGTGTATCACCCCTCGGGGGGGGGGACAAGGAAGGATGTCGTGGTGACAAGAGCAGCGCAAGAGCCGGCCAGGAGAACGGGTAGTTGCTCCTAGCGGCCATGAATTTCAAGGCGCTCCTGCGGCACCGACGGATCCTTGCCCTCGACGGTCGAGATGGACCATGGCCTCCCTCCCCCCGGGTGGCAGACAGCTTTTGCTGTTGTCGCATTTAATTGCGTGAGTAAATTTCGTCGTTTCCGTTAATCTCGGCGCTGTTTTTATGCGGCAGTTGGCGTCAGGACGGTTGTCGTCACTGCATGCGCGAGATTCTCGGAGCAGCTGGTCGTGCGAGTTGAAGTTTTCACGTGGTCGTCAACTGCGCACGAAGAAATCGGAGTTAATGCGTGCGGCAAGTGGCGTCGGGCGATTTCGTCACGTTGCGCACGATATTTTCGGAGGTCTTCGGCACGTGGTGATCGTCGTCACTGTGCGCGAAGATTTCGGGTGGCTTCACGGCAGAAACGACAGCTGGCCGGGCAGGCCAGGCGCATGGTGATTTGCGTCGGAAAATGCAACGAGAGACGGCGTGACGACTGCCCGAAGAAAGCGGGGGTCTACCGTCGTTCCGCCCGGGTGTGGCCGGTGTGGCTGCAGGAGGGTGCGTCGTTGGCGTTTTCGGCAGGTGCGGCACAGTGTGGGACGGAAGTTATTTTCGAACCGCCGAAAAGTTCGCACCTTCACCGAATGTCAGAAAAATCGCGGGCAACACGGAGTTATACCTCATCCGACAAAAGCGGACGCTGGGTGAACGGTGGCAAGCGAAATTGTCAGGCGGTGAAGACAAAAAATAAGGACGTGTTACGGTTCGCCTCTGATCGGGGGTGATCGGGTCGGGGCTGTTCTGATCGGGTTGCCTCTGATTGCCTCGCTCGCGCCGCCCGATCAGAAAAGAATTTCCACGAAAATACAGCGAGGGTGCACGGCAAGCTTGCAACCCTTTCCCGGCTCCTTCGGGGCCAATTTGGCGAGGGCGAAGGCCTCGGCATTGATCTAGCGAATTTTACCGTTTCTCTGTAACTTCGCATAAACAGGCGCATCCAGAAAGTTCTTGCTTGGGTGGGTGGCTATGCGAGTTGCTTCACGGAAACCAGAAACACGCTGTAACTTTTCGCGGGCGTCGTTTAGTACCCCAACCTAATGCAATCAACTGATCGTCAGTGATTGTGTGGGATTGTGTTTGATTGGGCTTTTTAGGCGGTTGATCGAGTTGGGGCGATCAATTGATCGCGATCAAGTGATTGCCCCCGATTGCCCAAAATCGCCACCCTAGCATCCAGGAAATTATTGATCGACTCTGATCGGGGCAATCAGAGGCGAACCGTAACACGTCCTAAATGGAGGGAAAGTCGTGGGTGCTCCAGCAGATCTCTAGAGTGAAAGGTTGAGCCCGTACACCAATCCACCGCGAATTTCAGAGTCTATTCGGTAGACCCCCAAAAGGGTTTGATATTGTTACATGGAGGCGCGGCGAGCGGTGTATCGCCAAGGATACCTGGGATTCGCTAAGTAATTTCGACGGGTACGAAGATGGGTGAACGTCGGAGTACCAGGGTTAACGGCGGAAACGTCGGGGTTACGCGGTGGAAAATACTTCGGGACTGCTTCAACAACCATGATTTTCGGGGTTTCATTCCAACGGTGGGAGACGGGTGAACGTCTGCTCGCCAGCTGTTTCAGCGGTTTACGGTGTACTTCGAAGCCATCTGGGGAAATTCTGTAGCGAGATCTGCGGCGTTGATGCGGGCTAGGTTCCGTGAAATTCGGTCCCGGTAGACCCATAGTTCTGGGTTCCGCACAAAAAGCACCTCCTGTTGGTGGCTGGCTAGTGTGGTTAATCGCAGGAAATAAAAATGGTGACGGGTGGGCACGCTAGATACACCGGTTCTTCAAGGGGATAACCTGCAGGTGACCAAGACGTACGAGAAATTTCAACACCGACACTTACGGGTTTTAGCAGCAGTACTGGGAGCTGGGTCTTTACA